AGCCACATTTTCCAGCATGGAGGATGGAAGCTGCCGGGTGGTGGGGTGGGTGGGCTGGCAGATCCTTCCATAAGCCCTGCACGATTGCTTTATAGTCCCAGCATCTGACTCCAGATCCTGCTGCAAAGGGCACTTAAAAAAATTGTATGAAGGCACGAAGGGCCCTGAAATTACTATGGCCTATTTGGCCCCATGTAGGCACTATACGGTGTCCCTCCCCAAATGTATACACACACTTTGAATGATTATAAAGGCAGTGTTTATTAAAATACATTTCATTTTCAAAATTGAGTTATCAGCTTTAAAGTGTGTGTACATTTTTGGGGGGACACCCTGTATTTATCCCAGGAACTTCTGAGCCCCAATTTTCCTTCCCACTTGTGAACCGAGGGGCACGCACTAAGTGCATCTTAAACGCCTGTGGTTTAAACCCTGCTTCCCATGGAAGAGGCATGAGAGCCCAGATTGCATTGTCCTTTTCTTCAGCTTCCCCCCCCCCCCTCTTCTTTTGTTTTGGACACGCAGAGCAGAAAATGAGAGAATTCGAATAGCCTCGAGAACAGCTATATCTCGCAAGCTACCACCCCCCCCCCACCCCCATTGCTTGTGACAGGTCGTATATTTCATTACGCAAAGCAAATTGAGAAATCATATCTCTGCAATCCCATCTGGGATTATTTATTTCGCCGCGTCCACAGCCGGTCAAAATTGTGAGACAATACAATGTTAAGAGTAGCTTTCCGCGAGAGGAGGTGGATTCGAGGTCAGTTCTTGAGAAACCAGAGCCATAATCAGGCCAGAGCAAAGCACTTCTACAGAGCTGCCCAGAAATTTCCCAAATCATTCACCAACTTAGGCAGCAGGTAGAGAGAGCCAGGCAACTCAGGCTAGTGGTGGAGGGCAGGGTCCCCCCTTCCAGCCTGTCTCCAGGCCTAGGCCTGGGCCTCGGAAGCTGGTAATAGGGCCTCAAGACTCTGCAGGTCAGTTCATCTAGTCAGAATGATAACAAGACTAACACAAATAACAGCTCCCAAGTATTGAATGTTCAGCATGGGCCATCAGTGTGCCAGGGGTGTCCACAAGCGTCATCTCCTTTAAGGTTATTTCCACTGAGGAAAGTGAAGCACAAAGGGAGGTTAAAGATCCTCTTCGCTGTACCCCAGCTGAGAAGCACCAAATCCGGCATTTTAACCCCTGTCTGTCCGATCTGAAACCCGGGCTCTCGGCCTCCAAACCGGATTGCCAGCGCGGAGCCAAAACACCCTCCCCACCCCCCTCCCCTCTGAGAATTGCCCAGGGCCGCTCAACTCCAGTGGCCAAGGGTTCGATGAATCGATGAATCGCGCGACAGGTGGCTGGGCCAGGCTGCAGAGGTGGCCAGGACCTGGAGCCGGACCCCAACCTCGTGGTCATGCAGAACCCAGGTCACGTGGAGTGGCAGGGGCCTGCCCGCTGGGATTCACAGCAGGGAGTTGGATGGGTCAGCAGGAGCCAATTGAAACATACATACTCTTTTTTTTTTTTTTGTAGTGGTATTTGTGGTAAAAAAAGAAAGCCATCCTCATCAAGAAAGAGAACGAGAAGAAGAAGGGAAACTTCCTTTCCAGCTTTATTTTTCAGGTTCCCTCGCTTGACTTGCCAAGGCTTCGCACCGGGGTGGGTCTTAGCTACGCGGGACCGGAAGGGGTGCGGGTGAGAGCGATTTGGGGGAAAGGGAGAGGGAGAGGGGGGCCTCCGCACCGGCCAGCTAGGAGAAAAGCAAACCCCGCGTCACCCCGCCCGAGCGTACGGGCAGCAGCAGCGTAAACAGCGGCCCCACCGCTTTGTAATTTACAAGAGGGGGCTCCAATGGCATTTTTTGTAATTTGGTGTCGGTTTACAAGCCCAAAGCACTTCTGTTTCCTCACCTAACAGGTCTTCAGCCAAGGCCGGACCTCTTCTAAGAGAGGAACCTGGAGAAAGGCGCTGGATTCCCTGCGCTGCTCTTGCCTTTCAGTTCAGCCAGGGAGGCACGGGGGCGGCGGGGCCTCCCGGAACTGCACGCGCTGCCGCCTCTGGGATAAATAAATGTTTATTGAGCTCATACTATGCGAAGACTCTCTATCCTCATTATTAATTGCCTTCACAACCACTAGCCCAAGGACGGCCCCTCTTCCCGTTTTGCACCTGAGCGACTGGGCCCAGAAAACTAATCGACCAAGGTCATGTCGTCAGTGCAACCACCAGCCTTGAGCCCAGGCTCTCTGACTCATGGTCTCTGAATATTTACTCTGCTAACCTGCTTGTGCACCTTTAGATTCCTTTTTAATTTTCCCAGAAAATGCGGGTAATTTCGCATTTCATATCGAAGTTCTTCATCTCAAACCTCCCGCCCTCCCGCCCCCTCCCACCAGACTTCACCTCTCAGCAGTGGGTGGGGTCCTGATTCCTAGGGGAGGTCAGGGCCAGGGAATGGAGTGTAATTCAACTGGATCCCGATGACAGGTGTACGCCCCCAAGTGCACAAGATGGGGTGCCGGGAGGGTAGGACTAGTGGGGAGAGGGGGGCAATGGGAGATGGGCAGGGAATTCTGGAGGAAGCAGTGGGACTGTTGCATAGGATTTTGCGAGGAAACGGTGGCGGGGGCGGCGGGGAGAAGGGAGGAGGGGAGCCACTCTCCCCTCTCCCGGCCGGTGCTGCACGGCTCGAGCTCTTGTAGTTTACTGTACACAAATCTCACTTGTTTCCTCCGTACAGAGCAGCTTTTACAATTCGGAACTAGTTCAAGGGCTGCCCATCTGCTTTATTTTAGTAAACAGCCGCTCAAGCCCATTTCTCCTCCTGTTCCTTCCCGGTCCCCCTTCTCCCCACTATAGTTACCCCAAATTAACAAATCTATTTTCTTGATTTTTGTTCCTTAATCTTCATAATAACTGGTGAAAGGCTAATGATTTCCTGCTTTCCCCCACCCGCCAAGCAATTCATAAAAGCCCAGCTGGCCAACCGGAGTACACAGCCCGCCGCCGCGGGTGGGTTGTAGATTGCATACTCTTCTCGGAGCTTGGTTTCAAAGACAGAAATGTAACTAGCAGGGACACACACACACACACCATAAGAGCTGGTAAAAACGTGCCCTGTCCTGTTACAGGAGGGCTGCTCCTAATGTCAGGTACTAAGATGAGTAGGGTTGCAGGGGAATAAAATAAACGCGAACCCGTGGTGAGTCTTTCTGGCTGGTAGCGAAGGGCTCCAGGAACTTTCTAAGACTTAAGAGCAGAGGTCGACATAGCACCAAAGTGCTCACCAGTCCATTGCCCTCCCGCAGACCACTGTGTGGACCAGGGCTCCTCTTTAAATCTGTTTCGTCATTGGAAAATCGGGGGGAAAAATAACAATTCTTCCGCAGTCAAGAATCCAAACTAACGTAGGTGCACAAACGCACTTTGGTAAGTATAAGGGGCTACGCCAAAGGTGAAACCCACTGGTGTTATTAAGTGATGCCAAGCGAGAGGCACGCGCGGTTGACTCTATCCCATGTCTGAGCCTGCACGGCTCCCAAGTCACCCTCCGAGCCGCCAGCGCGACAGAGCTGCCCAGAGGAATGAACTGGAAGGTGTCTCCACTTCCTTCCCTGGGCGTCCTAAGCGACTCCAGGGAGAAGTCCCGCACCAAGGGAAGTCACAGTGCCTGGTCGCCACCGGGGAAGGACTTTCCAAACTCGACAAAGGTTGGAGGATACCTGCGCATCCAGTGGATTGCGTTAGTTTCACGGTGTTTTCTAAGCTGCCTTGTTCCAAACTCTCTGAGCTTTGTTAACTTCTAACTTCCCGAGCGGCTCCCAGAAAGGTCACGTTAGATTCAGTCCAGCAATTTCCTTCCTTTAACTTCCAAATAATTGTTGGCAGCCTACTATGTGCTCAGCGCCATGGCACTCACTTTCCTAATCTGTCTCCTAAACTGATTCCGAGAGGTGTTATTTCAAAGTGTTAACTAGAAAAGCGTCTAAGTGGTTTTAAGTTTACTTCAAGATATAGAATGCAGCATTTAATTAGGAGACTAGTTCCTTTCAACATGTAAATTTTAACTGTTATTAAACATTTATACAAGAATTTTTTGAGGGAGACAGGAGGTCTTTTTTCTTTATAAATTCATGCACACTAAAAGAGTAATTTTTTTTTAAAAAAGCTTCGTTTAAAAACATGCTTAGAGGCAATATATTTTATGTAAATCTCTTAAAGGCAAGTCCGTTCTCCGTCAAATCAACTGTAATAGTAATTGACATAGCCGAAAAATGTTAAGTGACATAGGTGATTTGGCGACCTGCCTGTCTCACAGGCATGGTTAGCTTCGCACTTCGATGAGAGGTGCTCGCCACAAACATATCTACAGGTCATCTGTCCGCTGATCCGGCGCTGCGGTGCAAGGTAACTATTTAGTCTTGCAAAAGAAAGTAGGATGGCACTGTGCATCTGATCAGAGAGGCGTCATTTTGCACCCAATCTGAGTTAATGATTGAGTCGCAGAAATACTGGTGATGCTGACAACGTAGAGATCAGCAGCCTTTTTATCTCTGCCAAGTCTATGACCTCCTCTTGTGGACAAAGCTATTCGTAATAGTGTGTCTGTTTGTTTTCTAGTCGGGGAGATAAATGGCGATTTCACCCGCAAGGCGCCGTTACGCTTTGGGTTTAGCGTCGGTACCCGCAACCCGGCTGCACCGAAGGCCGCGCGGAGTCTTTTGGCGGGGCCGGGCGGGGAGGAGCGTGCAGGGCTGCGAGGCAGGCGGGGGAGCTCCGGGCGGCGCGCCTCGGCCAATCAGCGTGCACACCGCCTGACAACTGGCCAATCAGCGGGCGCGAAGTTCGGGGGCCGGAACGGATAATACTGGGAAAGGGAGCGGAGGCTGGAGACTGCTGCGGGGAGCGCAGCGCCTCAAGTCGCTGGGTGCGCCCGCCCGCCCGCCCGAGAGTCCGCGGTCTGAGCCAGGCCTGGGCGGCCTGACCCTTCCCGCCCAGCTTGGGGCCGAGGAAGCCGAAAGTAGCTTCAGCGAGGCTTAGCGCCCCGGACCGCCGAGGACCGGTCTGATCGTGGCAGAGACCGGGATGTGTGGGGCGAGGCCGTAAGGACTTGACTCACCTTCTCCATCCCCTTTCTACCCAACTCCCCATCCGGAGGGCTCCGGGCCTCCAGCTGCCAGCCCCCCGATTTCGGGGCAGGGTGTGACGACCCCGATTTCTGTTTGCAAGCACAGCCAGCAGTTCAAGAGCCAGGTCCCAAGGTTGGATCTCTTTTGCCTGGGCTGCTAGCCCGGGCCTCAGAGTCTTGGTGAGTGCTGTGATGTTGCTGGGGTGTCCGGGAGGGCAAAGGGTGCTAACCACCTCTCCTCATCTTCTCTGTTTTACTTGAAAGCCTTGCCTCAAAGTGCAAACCATGCCCTAGGTGCACAGAGCCCGCACGGCTCAGCCCAGCACGGCCCAAGCACTGCTGATGCTGGAAGGGCATCTGCATCTCCCTGCCCAGTGGCCCATGGGGCTGTAAGGACAGCCCAGTCCTGGTTGTTTAGTCACCTATTAGCCGGGGTGGCAATGGGGGAGGAGAAGTCCTCTCCAAGCCCAAGAAGGGGTCTTTGTGGTGATGTAGGGGGATGAGAGACATTTGGGCCATAGGGCGGTACCTCTCTGAAGGGCCCCTTGTGATCAAAAGGGAAGTAATTCTTTCATTGACATTTTTATATTCATCATGGCCATACCAGTTTGGGGAAGGGGAGAGTCTGACCAGGGGTCTATAAGCGGCCTCGCTAGACACAAATGCTTGTGTGTGTGTGTGTGTGTGTGTGTGTGTGTGATTTGTAAAGCGCGTGCACAGCTAGAGAGGCTGCGGTTAAAGGTCAGGTGCTCACAGAGCACTTGGAATTATAACGAAATAAAAAACATGTAGGGTCGAGGGCAATGGGTTCTCAAACCTGGTGGGTCAAGTACCCCTTGTGGTGGTTCGAACGAACCTTTCACCAGAGGTCGCCTAAGACCCATATTGCATGTCAAGATAATTACAATAGGATTCATAACAGTAGCAACTACTACAGTTATGAAGTAGCAACGATAATAATATTATGGTTGGGTCACAACATGATGAACTGTATTTAAAGGGCCCGAAGGATAAGAACCACGGGGGGCGGGGTACTCGAGGGGTCCAACAGATACAAGGCAGGCACGTGTGGCCTGGCTGTCAGGAGCGGGTGGGGAGCAGGGCTCCCCAAGGGGCTGCAGGCGGGGCGACCGGGAGGCCTGGGCCCAAGGCCTGGGGACGGCGCCTCACTGCGGCCTGGGGGTCTGGGGGTCTTTCCTGTCTCACAGGGTGCAGGCGACGGAGCGTGGGCCGCGCGCCATGGCCGACCGGCAGGCGGGCCTGGCGGCCGGGGACTGGGAGATCGACGTGGAGAGCCTGGAGCTGGAGGAGGACGGGCGCGGGGCGCTGCCGCCGATGCCGCCGGGGCCCAGCCCGCCGCCGGCCGACGGGGACGGCGAGGACGACGACGACGACGAGGAGGAGGACGACGACGACGTGGAGGACGAGGGCGACGGCGACGGCGAGGAGGCGGGCGCGTCCCCAGGG